ATGGGGGTGCGCCATCGTGGTGTTGGCGCGACTCTACATGCACACGTGCATTGCCGTGCTTGACTGCCGCTGCTGCTGCCACGCTACAGCACTCTGTGTCGCTACCGCTATCGCCTGCTGCGCCGCTGCTCTCTCTCTCTCTCTCTCTCTCTCTCTTCCTCACTTCACCGTAGCCTATGTTGTTCATTGCGTGGATCGTTGTGCTGCCGTGCCATGGCCTCGGGGCCATGCCGCTGGGGCTGCTGCTGCCTCTGCGCCCGAGCCGCGTTGACGCCGCTGCCGCTACCATCGCATCGCCATGCTGCGCCCCTGCCGCTACACCGCGCTGCGTCATTGGCCTGCTTTGATGCTACGTGCACGAGGCCGTGTTGCCGTCGCCTTGCCATTTATGGCACTGCGACGCACGGGTCACGTCGGCAGCGAGCGCGTGGCCGTCGGCTGTGATCTAGGCCAGGCTTGGTCGCCACTGCTCCACGTCATGTGCACGTACTGCCAAGTCACGCACAGGACTGCAATCTACCTTCTCTATCACCGTGCATCACCCTATAGCGCACGTTCATAGCCGCTCACCTCACCTACCTTGCTCCGGCAAGTACCGCCCCCTACCACATCGTGACGTCGCGCTGCCGCGTACACATGATCGCACGGGCACTCCTAAAGGCTCCACCCAAGCATTAAACACACAACCCCTGCCCTCGCTCGTGAGGTTGTGTCCTCGTCCTGCCATGCCTTGTCGTGTCTTGGCCAGTCCACGTTAAGTCAAGGCCACTGTCCACAACATAGCAGCGGCAGCACACCATTCCTTCCTTTCAAATTCACCAGCTTGGGCTTCACAGCGTAATTCCCCGCACCAGTGGGTGGCATGGGTAGTCAGCTACGCGCCCTGTTCTCCTTAAGCCCAGCCGATCACTATCGATAGGCAATTTGGCATTTTGTTCACCGCCGGCCGTGGGCGCCGCCGAATCAGTAGGTTGGGAGGTAAGGCATGTAGGAGTGGTAGCAGTTCGATTGCTCGTAACCCTGCACTCGCCTTGACTCCCTCTATTCGGTGCTCGCACTGTTTTGGCCAGGGAACTCATCGATGACATGGTGACACGCTGGTGTCCATCGCAGAGCGTCGCCGCCCTAATTGGTCGCACGTGGCCAGATCGCCACAGCGCTTCCCAGCTTCAACCATCAGTAGGGCGTACACCACGGTGAGCTACGGATGCCTCTCCGCCATCTCTACCTGGCTGTGAGGGCGTAGGCTCACCGGAACAGTTGCGCCGCCACCATGGATAGCCGCTCGTCGCTGCAGCCCGTGATAGTGCACCTCCGAGTCCATAACCGTCACCCATCCTTGCACGTTTAGCTATAGATGGTGGTCGACCCCTTAATGCCATCGTAGCGAGCCTAGGTTGTCCGGCGTAACTGCCGTTGCTGCCGGTGTGCCGCGCCGCCATGCGTGGGTACGCTGACGAGCGCCCCATTGTAAAGGCAACACATCCCAGGGTCTTTAATGCAAAGCGTGAGTCTGTAGTAATAGTGTTCCGTTGCTCTGCGTGATTATCCAAAATCCCAAGCCCTCTTTTGCAAAATGCGAGCGCGCGCGGGCGCCCTTGGCCTTGGGCCTTTGCTGGGCCGCCGCGACACGCGCGCAGCTACGCCGCGCTAGGCTGCCGGGCCGTAATGGTCGCCACCAGCCCTTTTCCTTTTCTAAGCATTTTCTAATTTAGCTTTTAAGGTAAATTTATAAATTCAATATAAAATTATGTGGTTAACCAAAAATTGTGAAACCAATTTTGTTAAGTTGCTAAAATCATGATCTATCTGCTAGTATATTTTGTTCATATAGTTTTATAATATTTTCAGAAGTGATCTAATTAAATTGAGATGCTTAATATTATTAAAATATAAACTTCTAAGAATTGTTGTGATAAATTGGTGATAGTGTTGGATCTGAAACTTTCATAGTAAATTTCTAATATTATTAGGTGCTCACTGTAATTTTTGTAGCTCCATAATAATTAGTTTTCTAGGTAGCTAAATGAGCCCTAGTTCGAAAATATAGGTTTAATCAATAGAATGCCGAAACACCTTGAGATTTTAAAACTAAAACATTTTTCTGGAGACAAAGTCTTACTTGACGACGTGGATACATAGACTAGTACGTTAGTCATTAAAGCTAGCTTGTTAGCTTACGGAGTGTAATCATAAGTGAGAGTTGTAGTTGACGTTGATTAATTACATCTTTGTGTTGCATCAACGTATATCATAATAGGAACAACGATGGATCATAGAGTCAACCGAGGTAGCGGAAAAGATGATGCCTTGATGATCGTGTCACTATGATGGAATGCTAACTTTTAGTTATATCTTATCCAGGCAAGCCCCTGTGGCAGAACCGCATAATCTAATGCCTCACATGAGTGATTGTCTTCCATTAGACTCTAAGCACTCAAGGGAGAACACTAAATTACACAGTTCCGTCGAGCACACCCCAGGAGAGAACCCGAAAATCCACATTTTCGCCATCAGGATCACAAATGAGAGAATAAAGCTTACAACATTCTTAACCATTTCTTACATCACTTCTAGTACAACATCAGAGTATAGCATTTATCATTATAAGAGCGGAAGGTAATCATATTATCAGAGTTATGAATAATTTAATTGAACAACAAAATATAAATATGTGAATAGAGTTACAGCGGAAATAAATATCTAAACGTGACATGAGGAAGTATTGAAATATAAACTACGATAATAGATTATCAAAATTTCGTTTATAAAAGCATTTAGTGAGAGTTATAAATAAAGACTACGATCGCAGCGTAAATGAATCCTCGCTGAGCCCACCAGGAGGTATCCACACACAAGAGTCAGCTCTAGCATCCACCTGTTACCTGCAACAGGGAGAATAAAACCCTAAGTACTCAATTGTACTCAGCAAGACTTACCCGACAGAAGAAAAGAAAAGACTCCAAGAATATGCAAGACTATCTGGCTTGTGGGTTGCATTTGCAGGAAGCATTACTAAGCGTGCGTCCTTATATTTGATTTTAATTAATAGCCGCATTGGTTCATTAACTAATCATTCTATGTAAGCACCTGTACTACTTTCAAGTAGGTGGTAAGCAATCAGATTTCCTCTTTCCATCTTTCATCTTTCAGTTCTTACTATGATGCTAAACCGTAGACAAGCCGTACCGAATCGTCCGGCGATTCACGAATCAATGCCCCCAGCTGGGTACCCCGAAAACACACGCCCCGCTTGTACCCCAGGCACAAGCAGGACCAACCCATCACTCTCCAGTCCCAGGTGTCCAGGTCCCCGTCCAAACTAGGACTCCAAGCCCCTGCCCCTGAGTCCCGAACTCAGCGCGGTGCAAGGACCTCCTCCACCAAAATAAAACCCTAACAGTCGGTCCGGAAAGAGCCAGATCCATGACAAGAGAGCAACAAGTCTTCCAAGCGCCCATACACAAGTATGTGCTCGAGATAATAAGTCTGTGACCTGCCTAGAGTCATATGCAACGATCGGTCCTTAACCGACCAGACAGGGAAAAACGGTGTAACCAAGCTATGACCCGCCTCCGCGGCGACACAACTTCTTACACCCACCAATACCCAAACCATATCCCTGCCCGGTCACCATTTTCCTTTCCACCATTTTATATATTCTAGGTGATAATCATATAGTAACATATTTCCTGTATCTCGCGAGTGACAGGCAATCACTTGACTTCTACCGGAGTCCTGTAGCATAGCAATCTACACGATCCTGTCATACTAGTAAGACTCATAGGATAAAGATATATATGCAAGTGGGCTTCATTCAACTCCTTAAAACTTAATGCACAAATATAATTTAAACTGCAGAAGGTAGGGGTTATGCACCGGGGCTTGCCTGGGTAAAATATAATTAGAAGTTAGCTTTCCATCATGGCGACATGATCTCCAAAAGCACCATTTCTTCAGCAACACCCGATGACTCCGTGATCCATCGACGTCCCTATCATGATATGCAATGTAATGAAATGCAAGGGTATGATCAACTGACTGAAATCGTAACTCGTATACATACGCTCTACGTCTCTCAAGTGAACGAACTAGTTCTAACGACGACCGTACTTAGGCTACATATCCATGTTGTCGCATAAGACGTTATTTCTCAACAATTCTTTTAGTTATATAAACCTTCGGTGTTTCTTTATTCGTAATAGGACATCATTATTTATCTAGCAACTAATTATTCTAGAGCTACAAAAATTACGATGAGCAGCTAATATTGCTAGGAACCTACTGTAAAGATTTCAGATCCAATACTATTAACAATTTATCACGAAAGTTCCTACAAGTTTATATTTTTATAATATTAAGTATCTTCGAATAATTATATCGCTCCCAAGAATATTATCCAACTATATGAACAAATTATACTAGCAGGTAGATCATGATTTTAAGAGACTAACAAAACTGGTTTGACATTTTTAGGATTTTCTATGATTCATTACCAATTTTCCAATATTCAGATGATTACTAAAATTAACAAAATACCGAAAAGAGAAATGACTCTTGATCCCAAAGCGACCCAGCTCGCCTAGACCAGCGGCCACAGCAGCCCATGCGGGGCAGGCGCGGTCCGACACGGGGCGGGCTAGCGTAGGCACGAGCGGCCCGGACGCCTCGGCGACCAGCCGGCCCAGCACAGCTCGGCAAACCGGCCCAGCGGATGGGCACGCGGCGGCCCAGCGGAGGCCAGCAGGCCGGGGACTGAGCGGCCCAGCGCACACTCAGTGGCAAGCCGGCCCAGTGCTCGGCCTGCCCCCAAACTGGCCAAGCAATTTTAGCAAAAACGTCCCTGTGCTTTGACGAATTTAACCCGCAGTCCCGAGTCCTATTTACTGAGTCACGTATTTTGCAAATAAAACCCTGTATAACATATTGGCTTGGATTTATACCCTTTGTTCACCTTTATCAGACAAAGGAGCTGAGGAGCTGAGGAGCTTCGGCCGGTGATGGAGTTTGCCGCGGTCACGACGGCCAGCGAGGTGGGGGGGGGGGCGACACGGAAGGGCAGCGCGGCTGCTGCGGTCCGGCTGAAAGACGCCCGGAGCAGCAGACCACGGCGCAGGGAAGGCGCGAGCCACGACGGGGCAGCACAGCGGGACCGCGGGGCAGCAACTGGCAACGGCGGCCAGGTACCGCGGCCGAGACGGTGGTCGAGCAGGCGCATGAGGGAGACGGCGCCTAGAAGCCGCAGGCCCGGCGTGGACCCGAGGACCTCGGGCGTGCTCGCGCGCGGCATGGCACAGCCATGGCGTGCAGCAGCATGCAGAGGAGGCGTGGGGCTACGGTGGTGCGGCTGCGGGCGCACGGCAACGGACGAGCAGTGTGCACTCGCAGGGAAGGAAGAAGGAGGGGCGTGGGCGGTTGCTCGCGCGAGACGGAGCTTGAACGGCGGCCCAAGGGGCGAGCGGGAGGGATGGCGCTGCTGGCACAAGCGGGGAAGGGATGAGCGGCGCTGTACGGCGGGCGTGGAGCACTACGTGGTGCTGCGGCAGCGGGATACCTGTGCTCGCGCGGCGTGGGAACGGATGTCCGGAGCAGCGGGCAACGGCATGGCAGCCGGCACGCGGGCGCTGCGGCTCGGCGCGGCCATGGCATGGACGAGAAGGGCGAGCAAGGCTGCGCGTGCGCCCGCGTGGGGAAAAAGCCGAGGGAGCCAGCGAGCGGGGCCTCAGGGTCAAGCGCTCTGGCACGCGAGGAAAAAAACAGGCGGCGGGAAGGAAGAAGAGGACGCCGATACACGCGGTCGTGATGGTGCCGTGAGTTAAGTCTGGGAAGGAGGCAGAGAGGGAAAACGGCCGGAGGAATGAAGACAACGTAGGCCACGTTTAGTTGGTCCCCAACTCGGCGCCGCCGGATTTCATGGAGGCACTGTAGCAACAGTAGCTTTTCGTTTTTATTTGATAATAATTGTTCAAACATTGACTAATTAGGTTCAAAACGTTCCTCTCGTAAAGTACAACCAAACTATGTAATTAGTTTTTTATTTCGTCAACATTTAGTACTCCATGCATGTATCGCAAAATTGATGTGACGGGAAATCTTCTTTTTGCATAGTGACAAAGTTTGGATTTCTGATGAACTAAACAGGGCCGTAGTGACACGGAGACTTGGGCAAGCAGCGTAGAAAGGAGGGAAAGAGAGAAGCATGCTGCCGACAAGGACGGTGACCCGGCCTCACCAGCTCTGAGCGCTTGGGACTCGAAATTTGACATGCACGGATGAGACGCTAGCCTCCAGGCCAATCTCTGAGCACATGCACTGCACGGTTGCTGGTGCCCCCATTAAAAATTCGGACAAGACCAAGATTAGACAGGTGTACACAAGGTTGCAGAGGAGCAGGTCAACTAACACAGTTACATATTCTTTGATTAAGAATTACCGCCGTAACATATATATATATATATATATATATATATATATATATATATATATATATATATATATATAACGGTTTACTACTTTACACAAATTGTAACGTTTAGGCACAGCAAAATTTTCGCAAACTCGCATTTAAATTGATTCAAAAGCTATATATATATATATAAGTATATCGTTCTATTTATGAATGGGTTTTATTTTATTTATAAACGTTGCTTTTCATGCTTAATCTAATAGAACGAACCGTTTGCTATCGATTGGCTCGAATTGCCGTTTGACATTCCTAATTATTTCTACGCCCGGCGTGATTCAACTTGAGCGTTTACTTGAGTCCGCGAACTAAGTCACACTAGATTCGTGTATCGCGTCGAATACGTTTTAAATAAAAAATCCGAGAAACTCGTTTTGAAAACTTTACTGAGGCCTAAATCGCGGCGCTAAAAAGGATCGTAACACCGGGGTGTTACAACCAACCCCCTTAAAAAGAATCTCGTCCCGAGATTCGAAACTGGAAGCAGAAAAGGGGAAACGCGATTACATTCCGTAGATCAGGGACTACACGAAAGATTACACGACTTCGAATACTAAACCATATGGGGAGCTAGGGATACATGGTTAGGAGCAACTTGATACAACCGAGATCTAATCCAGAAGTCGAGATAGACGAGGACAATAGAGAAACAACAAGATAATGATTATCCAAATCATGGCGTAGCACCAACAAATCTAAAAACAGTCGACTGAAAAGTAAAACATCGTGAATCCTAAGGCCAACTAACCAAGGGAACTTGAACTTCTTCGACGAACTGGATCCTTTCTTCTTCTTCTCAGATCACATCATCACCTCAAACTGATGAACCTAGCTTTACAACGTCGACTGGATCTCGTAGCTATGCTCTGAATACGGAGGAATGGGGATGAAGAAGAAGAGCAAGGACCAAGGGTATTTATAGAGGCGAACGGAGAGGGGAAAGCAACACACCGACGGCGGATGCGGCGGGGCTGGGGTACACAGACGGTGCATGCTGTGGAGATAAGGTCGGAGACATGGTGCGCTTCCATTGTGAGCGGCGGAGGGGGAAATAAAGGAGATGAGAGGAGGGTCCGCTCGACGAGGTAGGCGTGCAGGCGATCGTGTCACCAAAAGAAGAAAGAAAGGGAAGGGAAAATGGGGGGGTCCGGTATGGGGACGAGGTGCGAGAGTCGGGAGCCGACCGGATGCTGGAAAAAGGAGCAACGCACAGTGCACAAAAGACGGCGAGCACTGCACGATGTCGCGGCCACGCGAAAACGGGGAGCTAAAGACCCGATACAGACAACGTTCGTAGGGCACGCAGCGAAATGACCCAGCATGCGAAGCACGGTGAACTAAAAATAGGGTTGGGACATGACGTCCACTCTGACTTTTCTATTACTCCCGGCTATCCACTGTTAACCTTCCTTACTACTCTTCTTTTTCTTTCCTTTACTCGACCACATCCGTCTTTCAAGTGGACTGGGACCATGTCATACTTTCTTCCTCCAAAACCATCTCCTCTTGGTTACTAGAGAGAACACCTCTGCATCAACCCGTTGTGGATTTCTCGTTTAAACACCTGAACATTTCCAAGGAGAAAAATTTTAAAACAAATGGTACGGCGGTGTAACTCGGCAAGGTACTTGGTCAACAACCTCGATACCAGCGCGTGCCGAGCAGCATCACCATGTGGTAGCTATTCCACGGGGAGCCCTCGGTTTCATCGCGGCACCGTAAGCTATTAACCAGGCAACTACTACCAACTTACACGCCATGAAGGCAGTGGGGTCATAGACCACAGAGTAAGGGGGTATCGCAAGGGAAAAATTCAACAACAAAGGTTTCCCTCCACAACAAGGGACAAGGAATTCAAATTCAACGACGAATTTGTTTTAAAAAGATTCAAGTGTTCTGTTGGGACATCCACAATTAGTCGATACAGTGTCCAATAACACCCAATCACGACTGATCTGCTGGTATCGGAATGGCAACTTCTCTTGTAACCCACTTGATATCACCCATGAAACTCTTAAGCACATCTAACGAACTTAAGGTAGATGAACGCAATAAACACATCAAAATAAATAAAATGCATGTTCCAACGGTCTTACATGGGTACAACGTTCAGGCATTCAGACTCCCACGCATGACACAGTATTCACCTACGGTCGAACGAGCTCAACAACTATGGACGACAACAACGGCAAGAATACAATACCGGAGGACAGTGACGAAAAACACTACTACTATGGGTACAGCATCACAAGGCAACTAATCTACATCTTCTCGTGGCAATGGCTGAGTGAGAGGAATCAAGGCTCGACTTCTGGCACTTCCGAGGGTGGAGGTGCTGGCGGTGCTGCAACACCAGTCCTTCTTCTTTCGGCGAGTGGATAGGGATCCCTTCCAAGATCGGGGCATCCTGCCTTTCAGCAACCAACGTCCTCCGTTCGGCTCTGGTGACAAGATAGGCCACCCACAGTTGAGGGACATGCCAATCTTTTGCCTCCTTTAGAGCTTCCTCCATGGCAGCCTCTCGGCTCTCAGCAGCTGCCGCGTTGGCATGCGCTTCGGCGAGCTACACCTGGAGCATCCGGTTGAAGATCTCGGCTTCCTCGGCTCAATGGAGGCAGCTCCTCAGTTCTAAGGCTTGACAGTTTCATGGAGGACCCGCGCGAAGATCACTGGTCAGTAGTGAAAAGGTTGCTGTGCTACGTCAAGGGGACGCTCGATCAAGCGATCATCTTCCCCAAAAGTAGCGGCAAGGGTGGGCTGCGACTCACGGTCTTCAGTGAGGCACCCCAAGGCAAAGGAAGGTGAGCCGGAGCTCACTGTCTTCAACGATGCGGACATGGCGGGCGACATTGATGGGCGATGGAGCACCTCCGACGTGCTCGTCTTCTTTGGAGCGGCCTCCATTGTTTGGCAGTCGCTGAAGCAAAATATCATGGCGTTGTCGACGTGTGAGGCGGGGTACGTCGCCGCGGCCACGGCGACGTGCCAGGCTGTCTGGCTACGCCGGCTGCTGGGCGAGCTGAACGGCAAGGAATGTGGTTCATGGAGCTGAGGAATATGATTGGCATGGATGAGGTCAAGGCATCGGGTTAGCAACAGGATTAGAGAAAGAATTGTAAGACATAATCTGTTGCTCCCGTTTCTCCATTATTGGAGAATGGTCGGCTCGACCGACCACTCCCCGTTGGGAGTTGGAGACTGATCGGCTCTGTCGACCAGCTATTGTAGCTGTAGTAGTAAGGCAGTATGCCATAGTAGTAGTGGTTTACTTCAGTCATGTAGAGTGGAGATGACTGAGCTAAGTTTTGTACTTTAGTAGTAGGTAGTTAGTAGGAGTAGATAATTGGTGTATCCTTTATCTTAGGAGTAGGTAGTTGGTGTACTCACCAACAACTATGTATCTGGTAGAGGTACAGATAGAGTTGTATATATTATATCAAAGGCAATACAACAAATCAGTTTAGTTGCCACAAACCAAAGGGCAGGACTTCGACCAACGCTAGTGCTTGTGCTGTGTGTGTGCTGTTCTTAATCTCTTTTTCTATCTCCTGCCATAGTAAATGAGTGTGTGCTGGTAAGCTAGTCGGCAGCCGGGGACCATCAAGGGGCTCCAAGCATTCTCGGGCATTCTCCACAAACATGCCCAAAGTAAAGGATCCAGCAGCTAGAACACGAAGACAGCTTTGAACGTCACAGACGTCACAGATCAGCACAGATACATCATACATGAGATGAGAAACTTATTACCAAGCGAAGTCACGCAAACAACAACTCAAAAGAGAAGAAAACCCAGCAAGAGCAAACCAGACGCTAAGAGGTACTACAAATCATAGCTTACTAGTCTGCAACTGATAAGATTATTCATGCTGGTTCACTGACTTTGTCAATGAGTACCGTGCATTCTGTGTATGCAGTCGGTTCAGCCCATAACTGATGTGTTGTTGCTGCTCTTGAGGGAAGCTGGAGCAGCTTTACTCCATAAAAGCGCCGCCGCAGGTTGCAGCCTTTTTCACATTCCATAGAAGATGCAGAATCAACTCTTCTGATCCCGATGGAGCATCTGCACAACATTTTACGTTTGTACGCCGTTGAAATCACTGTGATGTCTGAAAGTAATAAGAGCTTCCTCGCCATGTTCTTGAATTCACCGTTGGTAGTCTCAGCCGGCTGACTGTAAAGCACCCCTTCCTTCAGGGAAGGAGGTGATAACAGCTCCGTTCTGGTGCCAGCATGGCTGTTGTCGTCGGCGGGGGCAATCTTCTTGACCCCAACAAAAGCCTCAGAGAACCGATGAATGTATATGACGCGGTAGTTCTGCGGCAAGCTGAACGCGCTCAGCGAGTCAATTGGGGCGGCAAGAATGCCTCCATGCTTGAGCACCCGATCGGCGAAGGCAAACCTGTCAGCGTCTTCGCTGAAGTAGCCGAAATCCAGCAGAAAGTCCACTGACGAGTCCCCTATCATCAGCATCCGCCGCAGCGAGACGGGTCGAAGGACGCTGTCCTCATCCTGCTTCGGGGTGGGCGGATCGCAGTGGCCGTCGGCGCCGAGGACGACGGCGCGGGCGCCGTGGACGAGCAGGCCCTCCTGGCGAAGGTCGCGGAGCAGGAGCTCCGCCTGGGCCGCGGCTGCGCCGCACGTGTCGACGGCGCGGCCTCGGGCGGGCGCCTCGGCAGTGCGGAGCCAGGGCAGGCAGAGCAGCGCGACGGCGAAGAGCACGGAGCGCGCGAGCACGCGGAGGGCGCGCGGGCCGGGGAGACGGATCACGACGCTGTCGGCCGGCATCGCGGACGCGTGGGTTGAGCTGAGCAAGAGCGCTGAGTCTTGTGCCGTCTGAGACGGCGGTGAAGAGAAAGCCGGCGCGGAAGGGGGTGAGGAGGCGAGCTTAGCGGGTGCAGAAGCGGGCGGCGGTGTGGTTGCCACCCACGAGGGCGAGGCGGGAGTGCGGCGCGCGGAGCGTGAGGAGGATGAGCTCCCGGATCCGCTCGGTCTCCATGGAGGTGGATCTGCCCGGTTGGGTTGGGGGTAGGAGCGGCTCCACTGTTAGGCCTCCATCGGCGGTGGCCGCCGGTGGGACGGTGGGTGCGGAATTGGGAGGTTCCGCGTGGGAATTGGGGACAGAGGACGGCGGCGAGCGGCTCTGCGCCGGGAGTTTATGCGGGCTGGACCGCTGGACTGAATCGTTTTGGAACGGTTTCGTGGGGTACGGACGGTGGTGATGGATGCCGTGGACGGTGGATTCTAGGCTTCTGGCAACGGGGCCGGATTTCTGGTTTGGTTGTTCGTCTCCTCCTGTTTACGGTGGGTTTTTGGCCAAACTCCATATATTGGATATTTTGATATGATCCCAATCTTCAAATAGAAGGACAAGTGGGCATGTAAATATCTTGCAATATTAAATAGTTTTGTTATCTTAATAACTCTTATATTTTGTTTAGTCCAAGTCAAGTGGCGTAGATTTTATTCGCAAGCAATCCATAGTTACTATATGTATGGAAACTGGTGCTTCACACTCCCGTATGTATATTAACTCTGAGTTGTTGGTCTCATCGTGATAGGTGATTATTGGTTTAGATGTCTATTGATCTAATTTTGGTGCGTTTGATCGTGTAGAATGTCAAACTTTTTAGTGTCGGTGAATTGCACTATTTTTTCATGTTTGATGGGCTCGATTTATCTAGAGCATAGGCTGTAGGAAACTATTGGGAAAGAGCATGATAGAAGGACATGAATAAAAATATTCTTTCTTCTTTTATCTTAGGTTTTATGTATAGTCTTGGGAGTTGGGACGTAATATGTTGAGTTTTAATATAATAGTTGATCTCTTGAAAAAAAATATTTTTTTATTAAAAGTGATAATTTTTGGTTATTTCTATTTTTATATATCTATTAGTTTTGACCAAAATATCTTTGAGCATTAATTTTGAATATTTTATATATATTAAGAACATAACATTTATGTTGCTAGATTTCATTATGAGAAATATTTTTGGTATAAATAGTTCAATTAGGGTTAATGGTTAAAGTTTAAAATATCGAGAATAAACTTATGATATAGGCCCTGCTCGCTTCTCTTATAATCAGTTTTTTTCAGCTTGTTTTTTCAGCCAGAATAGTGTTTTTCTCTCACAACAAATCAAGCAGAACAGTGTGTTGGCTTATTTTTTCAGCGAAGCGAACGGAGCCATATTTGGATTCACTGGCACTAAAAATTAGCAGCTAAAGTTATTACTAGCTAAAATAGACCTACTAATTATTAGGTAAGAGGCTGGTAACTATTAGGGCTTGTTTGGCGCTTGTCTTTTTAGCCGTTGGTGCTGCTACTGCAGCTGTCGCCTCTCATAGATTGCTATGTTGACACCTAGCAGTAGTTTCTTTTACAGGTAGTCGTACATGCCCTTAGTTTCATTAGCTGGCTTGAAGTTGCTAATAGTTTATATGAACATTCAACTTACTATCTAACCACTTAGGATGGTGTTTGTGTGCTACTGGACCAAATAGCTTTTTGATATTTACTCCGTCCGTCCCAGAATAAGTGTCGTTCTTGTTTTCTAAGGAGTCCAACGCTTTTAGCTTTGACCAAATTTATACAAGTGAATATTAATATTTATACTACAGAGTTAGTAGCATTAGATAAATCTTTGAATCTATTTTCATAATAAACTTATTTAGAAATAAGATGTTAAAATTTTCTATAAATCTAGTTAAATCTTAAAAACTTTGTCCGGTACGGATACGATAGCAACATTTTTTTAAGGAGAGTAATAAGAAAGAAAGAAAATAGAGAGTATTCCTTAAAAAAATGTCCATCGGACGGCAGAGGAAAAAAGACATTGTGCACCTTGCAGCAGAAAGGGATAAAAGATATCGCGGAAGCGGGACAAATATCGCCACGCTACCATTAGGCCACACTCCGGTCGCAATTCGCAACACAAACGCCGCCGCCCAAAGTGAGGAGACAGAAGACTGTCGGAGGAGAAGCGAACGATGGGCTTCGAGAAGCAGATCCTGAGAGCAGGGACCGGCCCCAAGCCGGTAAAGGGCCAGAAGGTCACCGTCCACTGCACCGGCTACGGTTCGCTCCTTCCCTTCATCCCATACACCTCTTATTCACTACGATGTTCTTGGATCCGCATCACTTTTGGGTTTAGAGTTAGATGCTTTCAGATCCATTCCATCTAGTAGCCTCGGTGAATAAGCAGCGACTCCTTTTTTTTCCTCGGCTTTGATGCTTAGGATGCGATGTTCAGTCGTAGGATTGAGATCGATCTGATCCAAAGTTGCATGCGAACCTTGTGCACTGCATAATTCGTTTCTCTTTCTTTTGTATTATGACTAACACTATCTGATCTGCAGTAATTGTTCACTAACTTTTGGGTTTGTTTTCAGGGAAGGATCGTGATCTATCCAAGAAATTTTGGAGGTAAACTATCAATCTATTTTCTTGATTTACATCGAAGTGTAGCAAATCAATCAGTGGAATAAGCACGTGTACACTGAAAGTAGTTCTTTTCCTGTCAGTCACTGCGTTCTGTTGTTGTTTCTTTCAGCACCAAGGATCCTGGGCAGCAGCCATTCAGTTTCAACATTGGTCTGGGTTCAGTGATCAAAGGTAATCATGCCACATATCATCAGTTCATGTAGAACCTAATAACTTCGCCTGTTATCTTCATGTGCATTACTTCGCGATTTAGCAAGGGTTCCATTTGTCTATCTAACCTGCACTTTTGATGTTATTTATAAATGGAGCATGAGCTTTACTTATCATGATGTTTTATTTCTGGTAGAGCTCCAAATTTGGATTGTTTGCTTTATATTCTCTTTTAGCCATGGTTGTAAATTGTCAGTCATATTTTCCTTGACAAATTAACTCAGATGAAGCCTAGAGCGTTTTAGTTTTTTTCCAAAAGTGAGCAGTCATTGTTCAGGGTCAGTCCGGTTTCATGTTGCATGCCAGAATTTCACAGGCCTGCAAAATCATGGTCTATTAGCCAAATAAACCATCCCAATTAAATTACTGTTGTGCTAATTGCTCTGTTTCCTATAGGATGGGATGAGGGAGTTATGACCATGCAAGTGGGTGAAGTTGCTCGTATCCAGGTATGCCTCCAGCCTCCTCGACATAAAACTAGTCTGACTGTTTGTTTTGTTGATCAGCCAAATTAGTCTGAATGTGTTTGGTTTACTGATTCTTCTAGCATTTTATTACTACTGCAATTTTGAAGGCACTCTATCTCTAGATGGAAGTAACTTGTTCAAAAAAGCTTTGTTATGACTATGGATTTTTCCCCTTTTCTGCAGTGCATTATCTTTGCTTTGATAATCTGTTCTCACTTGATATTCTTTAAAGTTCATAATTTTTCATCTTAGCTTTCCCTGGCATCTGATATTAGAGTGTTCTTGCTTCAGTGCACGCCTGATTATGCTTATGGAGCCAGCGGGTTCCAAGCCTGGGGAATTCAACCAAACTCAGTGCTGGCGTTCGAGATTGAAGTCCTCAGTGCCCAGTAATTGGCCGATGTAATAGCTGATGGAGCCATTGATCAAACATTGGCCGTGCCTCTGAAGTAGTGAAATAATTCCGTTGCCACCTCATGCTACATGCAGCAGATTGGTGTTCTGAGTGAAATCCTATGAAACTTTAGCACTCTGTAACCGTGATGTCAAGTTTATGAAGTTCCTTGTGTGGCGACTCAAGTCAAGTTCTCGCCAATGATTATAATCCGATGGCTTCCCATGTGACACTCGTAGCCGGCCGTAATAAACTTGATGCAATTTTTGCAGTCGAATGCTGTGAATCTGTGATGGGACGCGTGTTGCCAGTGTAAACGAAACAGTAGATGGCTCGGAGGCTGTGTCAGTGTGTGGCCTGTGGCGCTGAGTATATGTGGACGCGCGAACCTGGCCGCCAGTCGTATCAAGGTACCAGTTTCGCCGTGTCCGGTGAGAGACGCACACCGGCATTCGGGTCCTCGCGCAGTGGTGTTTGGCGTGCAGGGGTGCCCGTGATGGAAATTGGCAGAGCCTATTCTAGTGATCGCGGAGGGGCGGAGTCGTGGTTGTACCTGAGCTGCTGGCTGCCGCGGTGGGAAGAGATGATCATGTGGGCGTGCCCTCAGCAACCGGCTGCCGCGGCCGGAACGGGAAGAGATGATCATGTGGGCGCGCCGGCGTGGAGAATGGAGAGTTGGAGACGATCACGATACCAAAGGGGCATGCATGAACTATATAGGCGTTTGTAAGGCTGAAGAACGAGGCATCCTATGCTTGCACCTTGATATGGGAATGGGAGCGGGTTTTGCATGCGCTAGTCACGTCGTCGGAAAAAAAAATCTAAGTGACACTGAGCTCGCAGCAAAAGCAGCAAAGATGAGCTACTCTATTTCAGTCGTTGGCCACATGAAGCCTCCATTGTTTTCATACTTGAAAATGGAATAAGACTTGAAATTTAAAGACTTATATGCACTTCTTTCCTCACTATAGCTATACAATACAGGGGCATAAAAAACCATCAATTTTTTGTGTGTCCTTGTCCATACCTTTCAAAGAATTCCTAAGAACAGTAAACATGTTCAAAAATAGAGCAACTGCTTAACCACAGCTAGGTGCTATCAATGAAGCTAACCTACAATGTTAATTGGATTACACTCTAAAGCGCAATCCAGTTTCTAAATGTAGACCCCATCCCACAGGCAATGGGAACATAGCCAGGTTACCAGCAAAAACAATTTTTATGGTGTAACACAAGGCTAGCTTCTCAGATATCATTGAGCCTCCTCTAGACC